CAGGCCCGAAAAACAGAGTGTTTCTGCTTCCACTCAAAATAGCCATTTTCAAAATGATATAATAAATGATCTGTGAAGTATTTTGAGCTAAAATTTTTGGGGGACACATTCTGGGGACACCAGAGACTTATATTACATATTGTAAAAAGGGGCATAATATGTCTCCTTTAATACAATTAATTACATTTAATAATTAATTATAATTTTTTTTGTTATTAAAAGATATATTAAAAGTATTTAATTATTATTTTTAAAATATTATTTTTAAAATGTATTGTCATATATTAACTTGATTACCTTTTAAATGACATATTAACTTGATTACCTCTTGATTAAATTGTTTTATGAATTCATTTCATTAGACTACTTTTGATGATAAATGTGTATTAAATCATAAAACACTGAATTCAGAAAAAATAAAATTGAATTTGGGAAAAAATAAAATAGATATAATGAGGCCCTAAATTAAAAGGTGTTGTCTTCATGCAAACAACCAAGTTATGTTTACATTCACTCTCAAGGTCTATTTTTGGCCATATCGCCCTAATTAAACGTCAAATCTGTTCTGATTGGCTGTGATTTTGTCATTTTGAGCTGCAGATTTTGTACACACACAAACAAACAAACAGTAAGTACCTTATAGTGGAACTTGCAGTACACCGACTGTCCCGGAGTGTTGACCAGTTTGAAGGTGTGCGATCCGTATCCGTTCATGTGACGGTAGCCATCAGGTATTCCCCGATCGCTGAACAGAAAAGACACCTGCACATACACATAAATCGCCATGAGCGAGCCATTCTACAGGAACGTGAAAATGCAAAAGTGGGTGTCTTCTGCTGCCGTACCTGGTGCAACGATTCAGGACGCAAACTCCAGAAGTCCCAAACCATATCCGGATCCTTCAGGTGAGTCTGCGGATTCCGCTTCTGAGAGTGGATGAAGGATGGAAACTACAACACAGTTAACACACACATACTGTTAATACTGGGACGAAGCTCTTGATGGACTGTGTGTGGACTGTGTTTCTCACCAGAAGCGCATCCCTGATAAAGAAGATGGGGGTGTTGTTTCCTGTAAGATCCCAGTTGCCCTCATCGGTGTAGAACTTCACTGCAAAACCTCGAGGATCTCGGACGGTGTCTGCTGACCCAGATTCACCGGCTATAAACAAGCGCATACATATTTATCATGGTGCAAAGGTGGTGCTTTATACTTTCTGTAGGTAAGTGAGCAGGAGTATGTTCCTGTCACATTGTTTCTGCATGTGCTCTTTACCCTCTTACAAAACCATCTGGCTTCGTTTCAGAGAACTGAGTGCTGTGACTTCTGTTACGAAAGCATTTCTAATCCCAACAAAACAATCGATCCATACAGAGTCCAGACTCCACTAGAAACGTTATTATTATATCCATACAGAAACGTACCCACAGTGGAAAAGCGAATGGCGATGGGTGTCGTCTTTCCCACATGCTCAAACACTTTGGCTTTGCAATAGCGTGTGATGTCATGGGTCACTTCGAAGTAGCCAAATGCTCCTGCGAAGAGACAGAGAAAAGATTTAGCTTGAAGTTCATACTTTCCTTCTGGTACAAGCTTTAAAGTGTCCCAATATTGTCTATCCAGTCAGAGCAGAGCTCTCATGTGCTTCAAGACACATCAAGTCTGTCCAATCAAATCACAGCACAGTCATGGTTTTAAGCCTTTCAGCAAGATTTTTCTTAAGAAATTAATACTTTTATTCAGCAAGGACGTATTCAACTAATCAAGTGACAGCAAACATTTATAATTACAAAAATCATTCTATTTCAAATAAATGCTGTTCTTTTGAATTTTCTATTCTTCAAAGAACCTAAAAGAGTACCACAATTTCCACAAAAATATTAAGCTGCACAACTGTTTTTAACATCGATAATGTTTCTTGAGCATCAAATCAGCATATTAGAATGATTTCATGTGTGACACTGAAGACTGGAGTAATGATGCTGAAAATTCATTAAAATTACATTTTAAAATATATTACAACAGAAAACTGATACTTTATATTGAAATAATATTTAACAATGTTATTGATTTTATTGTATTTTTGATCAAATGTGACCCTGGACCACAAAACCAGTCATAAGGGTCCATTTTTTTTACATTTAGATTTATACATCATCTGAAAGCTGAATAAATAAGCTTTCCATTGATGTATGGTTTGTTAGGTTAGGACAATATCTGGCCGAGATACAACTATTTGAAAATCTGAAATCTGATGGAAAAAAAAAAAAAATTCTAAATATTGAGAAAATATCCTAATGATTTTTGGCATAAAAGAAAAATCGATAATTTTAACCAATACAATGTATTGTTGGCTATTGCTACAAATATACCTGTACGACTTATGACTGTTTTTTTGCTCAATAATAAATGCACTAAGCTTAAGAGATTTTCAAAAACTAAAAACATGTTACCTGCTCCTTTCGCGTGCACGACTCTCTCTGGTGTCCGCTCTCGGTCGAAATGGGCCATTTCATCAGTAAAAACCACGTCCTGGACCAGCAGCGGTCCACGCGGGCCTGCCGTCATCAGGTTTAACTTGTCCCCTACCGGGACTCCGGCTCCTGTGGTCAGGACATCTGGCCGCTGGGAAAATAAAACAAAATTAGACAGAATAGCAACACAAAATCAAATTAAAATAACATCTAAACAAACCAAATCATTTTATATATTAAACACAAAAAAATATGTATTTTAAAAAGATTATTCAATAGTCAGTCCTTTCAAATCATTTAATAATATTAGTAATATTTTAAATTCTCAAATATTTACTTTATTTTATATTGTCTGAATACATTATAAATATCATTGTGATTATTTGTTATTAAACTAATTTGACAGCGTGACACTGAACTAAACACATTTGATCAAACTATACTGGCAAAACAAATATTAATCTATAGGCATTTGGCCTGAAAATAGTGATTAAATAGCTATAATAGTTGTTTATCTACTTATCTGGTTAAAGTTTAACTGTAGAAGTAATTGAGGTTATCTGTCGTGTCCTCGTTAAATAAATAAAGGGAGAGGGGCCTACATCGCTTCGCTCCCTTCACTGTTCCACAACATAGCAAGCATTATAAACATTTGATTCGCTGAGCGAGGTGTCAGTCATGGTATTGACCAATCATGTTAGAGAGGAGTGGGATGGGGCGGGGGCTTGACCGTCTTCCGTCGTTTAATATGTCGTTAACCCACTTCAACTACAGATACGTTTCACATGAAATTATGTAATAAACCATCTGGTTTTGTGCAGTTTTACTTGCAAACCATTACAAATTCAAAACAACCAACCGTGCACAAAAATATAGGACCGTAGGGGATGCAGTTTTCAATACGCAAACCAGCACCTGACTAGTGTTTTATGCAATTAAATACAAATATATTAGACAATGTATACCGCATTCATGCGTAACAAATATCATAGATATATTATAAAATGCTTTGAAAGCACCATGTTTACTTGTAGTGCGATTATGCGGTCTTCTGTCACACTGCAGGCATAACAAGTCAGATGTGAGTCACATTTTAAAACAACCCAACACTTCAGTGTTATTTAGAGACGTTTTGCACATTAAAACACTCCGTTATAAGCAAATACTTCAGTGTTGGTGCATTACAGCCCTGCGACCTTTGGCACAATTTCTCACTGTGCAATAACCCATTAAAATAAACGGTATAAACCTATTTAAAGCACACAAACCGAACTTATATTTAACAGAACATAATATCCAATATATAAATTCTGCAGCAGACCTGAGAGCCACGACCCTCCTTCCACAGCTTCATCTGATCCGTCGCTTTATCTCTGTCTGCCATTATTCAGCTCTGCAATGAAAAACAAAACGCGATACAAAACTTCTGTGGATCCAAACCACTGAGCTCGAGCTGTCTAAAGGCTTGTTATTTATTAAGGTTGGTAACAGTCTGTGCTCTTTGCACTTGAACTTGAACCCTTACGTGATCACCAGCCACCCAACTGATATCTACTGGCCACAGTATTTTTGCAGCGATACCCGTTTACTTTTCTCAGCGATGAACAAGGTGGACCGGAATGACATCGCTATCTCACTGGCAGATTTGTTTTTTTTTTATCATTGCAGTAACATTTAAGAAACTGCTAATTTTCAGCCATTATTATTATTATACATGTATTTTAAATTCTTTACATAATACAATACAAATTTAGGCATACATTTCTCTCGCATTTCACACAAGAAAAAAAAAAGACTTCATATGAACCGTGATACCCGTTACTTTTCTCATCGCTGATTATGTTGGACCAATCACAATTGTTGGTTATGTCATCGTTACCTCATCGACAGATTTGTTTGGTATAGGATTACTGTAACATTAAATAACATGCAAACTCGCTGGCTTTATTATTGTACTTGTAACTAATATTATTTGCATAATACAATACAAATGTACTTTCACATCTCACACAAGAAAACAACAAATGACTTCATATGAAACAAACCACATAAAGCATTTTTATTTAAACAATTCATTGGATTGCACTATGTCCTACATTACATGTGCATGCATTGTAAAGTTATGTTTTATCATTCTTTAAATCTTTTAAAGTTCACCAACATTAAATGTACACTGCAAATGAGAATATTGCTTCTATTAGGGTGAGTTTGGCACAGAATGAAGTTTAATGACAAGCTTAAAATATTGTTAGTAGTAAAAATGAATCACAGCATTTGCAGCACATCATCAAATCAAATGACTTCACTGCAAGTAGCTCAAATCTGATATTAATTCTACAAAACATGTTAGGTGTTTAGGATGTAGGATGTGATTCACAGATTTTGGTATGAAGTTTTTACATTCTGTCATCAAAAGATGTAATTATTGCGGCAGTTAAAACATTTTTACATTTTCTTTCGTGCCGAAGAAATCTGTGAAAGGAAATATATATTGGTTTATACATATTCCAGTTTGATATGAATGCATGTATTTTATGCAATGTTGGGGTAATGCATTACAAAGTACAAAACTACAAAGTACATGTTCCTGTGATGAAATAAAGTAAGGGATTACTCTTTAATTTTCAGTAATCCGGTAACAGTTACTATTTTCAAGTTACTTGCGCTACATATATGATTTTAATGTACTAAGGCTAATTTAACAACTATATTTAAGGTCCAACAACAAATATACTATTGATCAAAAAGCACTTTCTTACATTTTGACATGCTAACCAAGTGTGAGAATGGCAAAAAAGAGTGGCTTTCTTGTGAAATGGGAAATAAATTGTACTCTAATATGCTTGTTATAAATACAAAGTAATTCAAATTTATGCCCTGGCAGAAAAAAAGAAAGAAAGAAAGAAAAAAAAAAATCTCAGCCACACTGAACTGCAATCTTAATCTGACAAATTGGCCATGTGAAGTTAATAAATTTGGATTTTAGAAATGATTAACTGAATTAATTAATAAAAATAATATCTAATGTTATAGTAAGACTACTGTTTTTCCGCAACTTCCCCAACACTGATTTTATAAAGTACTTGCAGGCCCCCTAGTGGTAAAATGCATTAGCCAAAATAAATAAACACATAAATACATACATAAATAAGGAAATAAATTTGGTACTTTGATTAAATTGACTCAAATATATTAAAATAAACTGAACAACTAAATCAACAAAAATACATAAAAAGTAAAACAGAGCACCTCAATGCTGCGTCTAAGTTACGTGATGTGGCTCCATGGTGCCACTATTAGGCTAATAAGTGTCATTGCACTTGCCTGAGAATATGGACAGAAAGTCCCGAAGTTATGCCGTATATTTGTTATTTTAATGTGTTTAAGCAGAGAAAAATAAGATCCCAATAAAAATAATAATAATAAATATTTATGGCCAAACAAATAATAATTTTTCCTTTTTTATACTTAGTACAACAGAATGTGTCTACAATTTCTGTCACATTTTACAATCCACCCAAAGGCTGCAGCACACAACCAGCCACCTTGTTATCATATGTAGAAATTAAGTTAACCTGGATAAGAAAACCTGGATTTCAAAGACCCTTACAGATGAGACATCCTGAGCCGCTGATTTCTCTTTCTCTCATTACAGTTCCATCCATCCTCGTGACAGCTGAGACACAAAGACTTTCTCTTCATATTCAACGTCTTTACTGTTAGGACAGTTAGACAGTAGGCACCATGCAGACAGCAGTCAGAGGACATGGGTCAGGACTCAAGGACTTAGATCCTCCGGAGCGGGTGCCACATTGAAACCGGTTTCCGCAGAGTCGCCAGCATCTGGTTCCAGTGAGTTATTCCCATTCCACTGGCCTCTGGTCCGATGATCACATGACCCACGTTTTCACCACGGCCGTCCTCTGTGCTCTCAGCGACCGTCACTCTCAGAGAGAGATCCTGAAAAACACCCACAAACCTTACGCACGCTGACGACAGGCAGACAGACAGAACACAGACATAGAACACTATATATAACAACAGACAGACAGACAGATAGACAGACAGACAGACAGATAGATAGACAGACAGACAGACAGGAAAGGTAGACAGACAGACAGACAGATAGACACAGATAGATAGACAGACAGACAGATAGATAGATAGATAGACAGATAGACAGACAGACAGGAAAGGTATACAGATAGACAGACAGACAGACAGATAGACACAGACAGACAGACAGATAGACAGATAGGACAGGACAGACAGACAGACAGACAGACAGATAGATAGATAGATAGATAGATAGATAGATAGACAGGAAAGGTAGACGGATAGACAGACAGACAGGATAGATAGACAGACAGACAGACAGGAAAGGTAGACAGATAGACAGGATAGATAGACAGACAGATAGATAGATAGATAGATAGATATAGATAGATAGATAGATAGATAGATAGATAGACAAAGACAGACAGACAGATAGATAGATAGATAGACAGACAGACGGGAAAGGTAGACAGATAGACAGGATAGATAGACAGACAGACAGACAGACAGATAGATAGATAGATAGA